ATACTCTCTCTAGCTGCTCTATAAATAACATCTAAAATTAACTTTTTATTTATCCTAGGAAGCAATGACCCAAAGCATTCAAGCATATTCGCAAGAGACATAAATTTTAAGGGTTATTTTTTTGAAAGTGATGTTTGTTTACTGGACCATAGAAGTTTTAGAAAAGAGCACGCAAATGTATTTCATTCTCAAAATTATACATTATGAGTTATAGCAAGAACTTTTAAGAAGTTCTTTCTTTTAAGAGTTAAAGCTCGAATCATTCGCAGTTKCTGTAACTTCACAGAACGCTACTTCGGAGTAGTTTCTTCTTGGCATTGAATACTCTGATATAAACTTATTAGACTTACTAGCTTTGATTTAATAGTTAAAATTGGCTTATGAAATACGATCAACAGAATTGCCTTTTTATTCAACACCTTGATCGACATATGGTCGTAAACTGATATAATAATGTAATCGCATTCAGTGGCGGATCCAGGATTTTTTTAAGGAGGGGGACCTAGGGGAAATCAGTTTGCAATTATTTTTTGTTATATTCTTTATAATTAAGGAATATAAAACGGCGCGCGTGTCTCTGTCCTCTGATATAAACACGGTGGGAGTTCGAAAAACACGAGAGAAGCAAGCTTAGGAACACGAGCGTAGCGAGTTCGAAAAACACGAGAGAAGCAAGCTTAGGAACACGAGCGTAGCGATGAACACGAGCGAAAAGAAAATTTTGCCGGTAAGCCGTGTCTCTGTCCTCTGATATAAACACGGTGTCGTCAGCCAATCAGAGCGCGCGCTATATATCAAAAATTTTATAAAATTWTGCCATGAAATATACATCACGAATATAATAGTGGTTGGTTTTGTAATTTCCAATATAAAAATCCAGCCRTTCCGGCTTTCATCTTAACACCGTCAGATTTACTGTTCTTATTCTTACTTTCCAAGRGTTTTTTATTTTTAGAACAAACTGCMGCATGAAATCAAGCATAGTGTATAMGAAAATGATTGTATTGKTTTAGTCTTAATATGTCTACATGGCTCARTGTCAAAGTGTTTTTATATATTCAAGATAATTACACTTGTCCATTTCTTGCTCTTTCTTCTAGCGAGTATCAAAACCGGCGTGAATTTTATTATATCAATCCTGTCCCTCTGATAGGGAATGAATCGACAACAACAATGGCAATTGCTAATTATAAGTGTTTATTCCTTGTGATGTAGTTTTACCATTTTAGCCTTTTTAATGATTCAGACTAGCTATATTTTATTCAAGCTATTCAAGCAATTATAGTTGTTAAACAGGACTGGCATTGCTTTCCAAACACGTCCAGTACTTATAATAGGTGAGGAACTAGCTAAAGAAGAAGAGAAAATAAATATATRTAAATACAATATATCAATAACTTCATTATAATCAAGACCTGAATATTCAGGTAAGAGGAGACGACGGGYTCCTGGAAGCAATATATCTGTTCTTATGTCCCAGCCGGAAGCTGTAGGTCAAAACTTGTTGCCAGCGGGAATTTCAGGAAAAAAATAACTTTCCAGGCATGAATACTTTCTAAAAGAGAGGTTTAAATCATCTCGGAAGAGAGTCAAAACTACTCCAAAAAGGAGCTCAAAATTGCTCTCTGAAGATGAGTCAAAATTATTTCCGTATACTGGTGCAGTTAAAAAGGAGAGCAAGACGAGTTATCTGGTAGCTCTTTTAGTTTAAATTCATTTTGTGGAGTTATGTCAATTCCTTGGCAGAAATTATAACTGTGTACTTTTCTTTTGTTTTTTCTGATGAAAAAAGGAAAAGTTCGGACATCATAAATGATTTTTATTTTAAAAGATCTTCGTTGGTTGTATTTTTCATATTTATATGCAGTTTGTTTAATCAACCATGAATAATTTAAACTTCTTTCCAAGCTTTCGACCTAAGCGGTCATCTTCAGGGAACACAAAGACGTTACAAAAACAAAAACGCATTCAAACTGAAATGAAACTACTTTTGCGCGCGCAATAAAGACAATNTGGATTGTCTTCATCTCTTTCAATATCATCTTCTTCTGTCTCAATCGGAATGCACTCGATGTACAAAAAAAAAACAGAAGTAGGAGAAGAACCAAGGAGCACAAATAAATCTTCATGGCTTGCGTGTGGGAGTTAAAAATACTGAAATACAGATGACAAGTTACACTAGTACATCTTGTAGCTATTCGAGAGATCTCACGATTTCTGTACTTAGTTTCACAAATCATGACTTCATCTAAATCTTTGTGCCCGTATTTCCCAATGCGTGAAAGATTAAACGGTTATATTTAAATTGAAAGTTTTTCCCTCTAAAAATCTCATAGTGCCACATTCGGTATTGTTTTGCAAAATCTGATGTGTCTAACATGAAATAATCTCAAAGTAAACATTAATTAAGGAGTTGAGAACGTTAGAAATTTATTAAAAAGGGACAAATCCGGGATCTCTATGAACAATGTATTATGCAAGTTAATCAATGTAAAAAGTTTGAATAAACTTAAATTAGATAGTATATGTGTATTTTACCTTAAAAGCAGCTCAGAACTAAATCTCAAAGGTTGTTTTGCTATGGAAGCATAGAAATAACATCTTTTATACCCAACGGAGCAATGACCCAAGTCCTTCCAGTTTAGCAAGCGTGATTAGTATAGAGTGCTTTTTGTTTTTTGAAAATGATATTTGTTAACTGGACCATAGGAATTTGAGAAAAGAGCACGCAAATATGTTGTGTATTTATACTTCCGCTAAATATCATCATAGTGAAATGAAATCATTTACAGCTACTGTATGATACAGAACTTTCTTCCTAGAACTATGTCAAAAGCACAAGATTTTGATCGACCTATCATCGGAAAAATATATCAATTTAATCATTATTGATAAAATGATCTCTATATATTCAAACATTACGTTTGTCCAAATGACGCATGTAGAGGATGGAAATTACTAAGTATCCTCTTAAGCTTCAATGAGCTTCAATACCTTCTGTGTGAACTAGACCTCTCAAATGATGTCTAGGTGTATAATATTTTGTTGAAATATTTATAAATAGAACTTTCTAGAATAAAAATCACGAGCTAGACAATATTTTACTCTGATCATTGTCTAGGYCATCTTATACTCGTATATGGCGCGAGATTAAGTTGCGGTGATTCAGGATGTTTCATAGGAAGCGAAGACCTAACCCAGTTTGCCGAGAGCAAGCAAATAAGATCCAAATATGAGCAGTACTCGATAGTACTGGTATTTACTTTGTCCAGGTACTTCAAAAGGGGAAACAATGAATAAGATTCTAGCAAAAATAAGTTGATTTACAAAACAATTAAAATTTATAGAGACTATACTAAAAAAAATACTAAATTTGAAAAAATGTATAATAGAAAATACATTTATTGAATAAAAAAACTTAAAATGATAACGTAATGATGATATTGACCGCGCTTTTCTTTTAAAAATAGAACGTGATGTCTTAAAATAGAAGATAAACTTGTAGTCTGGTAGTTTCTATTGGAAAGTGAACAACTGTGGTCTTTGTCATGGAACGGGGAGCTTGTGAACGCGAGCAAGCGCGTCAGCCTAKCAATCAGAATGTAGCTACTGACGTCATCAAGTTGAACCACCAAGTCACCCGTCGCATTAAAGGGGTCCATTAATTTTCCTATTTTGGATTCATAGTGAATAACCGCTGTTTTATTTGACAGCTGATTCTCTTGCGCAAAGACATCACAAACACAAATTAAAGAAAGCACGAGAAAATGTAGTTAATACAATATAGCGCTATAACAATTTACATCATTTCCCCGAGTTGAGGGTAGCGCGAATGTTGTATTCCCAGAAGGCTGAAACCTTAGGACCCTCAGGTCTTATGGGAATACAGGGTTAGTCTCACAACTAGGGGAAAATGCAAATTTTCAATTTTATTGTAATAACGACATTTTTCTCCTGCTCTCGCTTGTGTTTAATTGGTAAGGTCTTTGCGTGAAAAATTTTGTTGTTACATAAATCAGCGTTTTTTTGCTTTGATCGAATTCGAAAATGGAGTATTCCATTCATTAATCATACCGCATTTTTCAGAAAAAACTATAATGCTGAATGGTCATTCGCCTAATGACGTGGCCGAGATGCATCATGGGATTATCTAAAGTACACTGTCATTTTCAAGAAATTGCATTGATATAACTTTCAATAACAGAAGAATGAAAAGAAAATGTTTTATTATCTCAAGGGTAGTAATATCAAATTAATTCTGATATTTCATCCAGTTCTTTTATTTTACCAAGCTTTCGATTGAGTACGGGGTCTGATTGTATCGTGGATGATCACAATGATTGTGGCTTTGCTAAAAGTGCTACTTGCACAAAGAAGCTCTAATTTCAGAACGTCAAGTACTTTTGATTTATCGAAAATATGACTCATTTATTTTAAACCCATTAAAAACTTTTTAGAGAAATGTTGTGTCGGAGTTATACCAAAGAAGAGAAAGTTTTGCCTAAAAAAAAGAACGAAAGAAAGAACAAAAGGATGGAGTCGTTAATGACGTGTTATGTTCTACTCCAAACTGTTCTGACAAAATTACAAAGAAATTACATCAATGTCTTATTAAAATATGATCTTCCTGATTATATAGGACCCATTTTCGATAGGTTTATAAAATGTTTGATAAAGCACGTGCAAAAGGATTATTCGGGAGTTGAATCTGAATTCCGAATACCGGAGGAACAAATTATGGAATTGGGAACAYTGGGTTTCCTAGAATAAAGAATAACTTTATAAAAAAGCAAGTGGAATGGGAATACTTTGTCATTTACAACGCCGAAATACGGATATTCCAGCTTCAACCCTCGAAGCTTGGTTTTTGCATCTCACTTATATGCCTACTATAACTTATACAATCCATGGACTTGGGAATACATGTGTATGCATGCGATAAATGCAGAATGCAGCCGTCCTATTTGACTTTGATCGTGCTTCGATTCCTCTAAAGAACATTACWGATCTCTATATTCCATAAAGACATTTGCACACGTTGTCCCCGAATTATTTGCTTCGTCATAATTAGCAAGATCTTCTCCGTACCAAACCCAAAAGGTTTGATCTTTACCAACGATCAGCCTTGGGGAAAACTCTGGAAAAGTGAAGCTTGAAGCTTCATAAGACTGTCCTGGAATGC